TTGGGCAGTGGCCCTGTTGCTGCACAGACCAACGGACCTGTTGTTTGGAGACCTGAGTCTCCTCCCTTCACATTGCTCTGGAAAAGCATTCTTTAAAAAGTAGCTGCCTCTGCCAGGGAGTTAGAAATTGTGCCGCATCCTCCTGAGTCGATGAATGGCATGGGGTTATCCAACCTGAGACAGTGTGATGGTTGACGGCACAAGATAATGTGCACTGACTTGCGGTTATGTTTAAAATGTCCAAGCTAAAAGCACCTTCCTTCCCCTAATGTTATTTGAACCTGGGCCACTGAGCTATGCTTCCCAGCCATAGCCAGCAGGCTGGACCTTGCCTAGCTTACCTGCTGCTGTCTGGCTAGGTCTTAGCCACAGACACGCACGTGAATCCAGAATATGTCCAGAAGTGGCGCATAGCCAGCCGGGCTCTGCCTTGGTGCCCACTTCCAGAGGCTACTCTCTGTCTCCTGATGTTTTGTATCAGCACTGTGGGAGTTAACCACAGGGACTTGTTGGTGGGCCCTGTCCACAGAGCCTGGAGTCACAGGTGAAGGGGACAGGTGCAGCACTGATTACTAAAAGGCGTTCAGGTGTTGTGACACTACTGACCTACAGCAGATACTGTGACCAGTACTGCCCAGTGTGAGTGCTAGAAACCCAGTGCATGTGAGCAGCTTCAAACCTTACAGAGGCCAGAGGTGCCTGCAACTGACTGATTCTTTTGTGTTACATCGTGGGTTGCAAGCATTTGGACCCATGACCTGGCTGTAGCTCTGCTTAGAGTCAGAGTGGGTGACACTTCGTTACAAGATTCAAGTGATGACTTTAGATACACATACCATCAAAAGGCCAGCATGCGTTGCTGCATGCTTGTGGTGTCAGACCTCCACATCAAATTGAAATTGCTCTTGTTCTTCAAATGTTTGCACCCAGCCTTTGGATACGATCCACCAACGTCATGAAGGGAAATCCAAGCAGTTTTGGACTTCTGTGAAAGACTCAGAATGAGAAAGTTGGTGCTTCAAAGTTTGGTCTTCAAGACGGCAATTGCAACAGATGGTGCCGGCCAAACTGCATCTCCACGCGTAGGAGAGTGAAACCAGATCCTTGTCTTTCACCTTGCACAAACGTCAACTCCAAATAGATCAAAGACCTCAGTGTGAAACTGGAAACCCTGAAACTATTAGAAGAAAACATTGGCAGTAACTTACAGGATATAGGTGTAGGAAAGGATTTTCTAAATCAGACAGAAGTTGCTCAGGAATTAAAACATAAAGTCAAGAATCGATAAATGGGACCTCATTAAACTAAAAAGCTTCTGTACTTCAAAAGAAGCAACCAAGGAAGTGAAAAGAAAACCCACAGAGTGGGAGAAAATCTTCACCAGCAACACATCTAACAGAGGTTTTACATCCGGAATATATAAAGAACTCAAAAAACAAAGAATCGAGAAACCAAATGACCCAATTAAAAGATGGGCTAAAGATCTAACAGAGTTCTCAAAGGAAGAAATAAAAATGGCTAAGAAATGTCTCAAAAAGTGTTCAACATCGTTAGTAATTAGGGAAATGCAAATTAAAACCACCCTGTTATCACCTTACCCCAATCAGACTGGCTAGGATCAAGAGAACAAATGATACCAAATGCTGGCGAGGATATGGAGAAAGGGGAACGCTCATTCACTGCTGGTGGGGCTGCAAACTCATGAAAACCCCTGTGGAAAACAGTGTGGAGAACTCTTAAAAAACTAAAAATGAAACTACCATATGACCCAGTTATACCACTCCTTGGCATATACCCAAAGGACTCATTCTATTGTAGAGACACTTGTACAACTATGTTTGGTGCTGCTCTTTTCACAATAGCTAAGAGATGGAAGCAACCTAAGTGCCCCTTAACTGACGAGTAGTTAACAAAAATGTGGTATATTTACATAATGGAGTTCTATTCGGCAGTAAAGAAAGATGAAATACTGAAATTTGCAGGTACATGAATGGATCTAGAAATTTTTATACTAAGGGAAGGAACACAAACTCACAAAAACAAATGACATATGTTCTTACTACCATCATCACGACTTTGGCTGAGCCTGATCGCTAAACATAGTCACAATTGGGCTTGTTGATGGTTGTGCTCATTCATTAAAGGAGTGCCAAACAGGGTCACTGAACCCTCACCTGAATATCCAACATCTCTTTCCAGCCACTCTTCCCAGACAACTAGTCCAGCCTTGGAAGGCAAAAGAAAACTGATGAAGAACCCAATAGAGGGATGCTTTTGGAAGCCCTTGTCAAGAAACACCAATGGACTCTCATATGAACATTTGAAAATTGCCCTGTTCTGACTTTTTTCTAGCTCCCTGACTAGAACTTGTAATGCTAATTACTCTTGCCTTTACTTCTCCTTCACATCTCCTATTCATGATTCAAGGACTTTCTTCTCCCCTTAAAGACAATTTGGGAGTCTTTTAGACAGACCCACTGAAGGGGTACTTCAGTTGCCTCACCCTGCATCCCTGTTCAGCATGGAAAAAGCCAGAGCAGTCTGCGTCCCTATCCCTATTGGCAATCTGGGTAACCCCTTCCCAGGATGGCGTGATAAGAATAGGAGGTAGGAATTGGCTAGGCAGTTAGGGTAAAAAGACCCCAAAGAAATGTAGCCAGTTGCTTGGCTAAAAGTCAGTATGTCCTTCGGCTTGTTAGCAACACACTCTGTTCCAAGGCCAAAAATGTCAAAAGTATTTGGGAGCTTGTATCTAATCCTTAAAAGATTTTAGGGTTACCTCTTCAGAGGGTGGAATGTTGGAGGGGAGGGAGTGAGCATGGATTTGATCAAAACACCTTATATACAAATATGAAATTCTCAGTAAAATTTTTGTAAAAAAAAAAATTTAAAAAAACAAGTGTACCCACAAAAAAAAAAAGTCCTGGGTTTCTCTTCCTTCATCTGCCTAACCCTTTAAGCAGCACTAGGTGTGGGCCTGAGAGGCTCTGTCTAGCTAGATTTTTATTTCGTGTGTGTGTGTATGATGTCTATGTCGGGGTGTGTGCATGCAACAGTGTACTTATGGATGTCAGAAGACAACTTTCAGTCGTGAGTTCTCTCTTTCCAACAGGCTGAGGCAAAGGTACTCTTGTTTTCACTGTGCTGCAAAATCCAGGCTAGTCAATAAATAACCAACTCGTCTGATAATGGGATTAATAGGGATTTGAGGGTGACCTTTGCTCTGAGTGGAAACTGTACTCAGAGAGAAAAGTATGAACTTGTGAGTCACGGGGATATGAGTGCAAATCTTAACATTCTGATGTGACTCACTCGTCTCTTTATTTGTTCACTAATAAACATCAATAGAGACAGGTAAGGTGGCCTGTGATCCCAGTACTCAGGAAGTGGAGGCCAGACGACCAGGAATTCAAGATCATTTGCAGTTACATAATGAGTTTGAGGCTAGCCTAGGCTACATGAGACCCTGTCTCAAAAATAGTAACATGGCTGGAGATATAGCTCAATGGTTGAGAGCACCAGCTGCTCTTGCAGAAGATCTAGGTTCAGTTCCCAGCACCCACATTGCAGCTAACAACTACCCATAACTCCAGTTCCAGGAGATCCAACTCCCTCTTCTGGCCTCTATGGGCATTGCGCACATGTGGTGCACTTCCATAGGTGCAGGCAAAGCACTCATACACAAAATAAAAATAAAAAATGTAAAAATAACAATAACATGGCACTGGTGTGGCAGCACATGCCTTTAATTCCAGCACTCAAAAGGAAGAAGCAGGTGGATCTCTGTAAGTTTGAGGCCATCCTGGTCTACATAGCAAGTTCTAGGTTAGTCAGGCCTTTTAGTGACCGAAACAAAACAAAACAAAAACATAAGGATCCATCAGTCACCCATTTCTCAGGGACAATTTCAGAAGAGGAGGCAGAAAGATTGTAAGAGCCAGGCGTGGTACATGACCACAAGGAAACAGTCTTCCAGGCCTCTGGGAACTCGTGCATGTGAACATACAGCAATGGTGACAGCATGCACAACACCCGTGCAGACTCAGACAAAAACCCAGCACACAGCTGGGAAAGGGGCAGCAGGCTCCAGCCTTAGCTGAAGAATTCTTGGCAGCTGATTACTGCTGGGTGAGAGAGAGTTGATCTTTAAGGAAGAGACTCTAGATATGCTGACTAGACTCCAGTGGATGAACTTGCACCTCGGAACATCTGCCGGGTACACTAATGTGACCGGATAGGCTTTAACATACGTGATAGAATTCATGAAATCCGGTGGGGGCAGGGAAGCTTATGGGAGGGTTTAGATGGGGGAGGGGTATAAAGATGATTACGATGTTTTGCATGAAATACACAAAAATTCAATTTAAAATATACATTAAAAAAAAACCCAAACCCCACAACAAGAAAACAACAATACACAATTATAATAACTACAGGTCATTCCCTGAGCACTTACCAAGCCCCAGGCACTGTCTGCACCCTCAAGCCATTTCCCAGTGACTCTGAACAGACGTGATTATTAGCGTCTTCATTTGACACAGAACAGCTGGACCCGGAGCCCACAGTCCCAAGACTGATGATAAGGCCAAGAGGCCAACAGAGCCCAAGCTGCCTCCTATCATGTTGACTTTTGGACATGTGTCACCTTTGGTGGGGTGAGGGGACAGGGCCCGCCATAATGGCCCACCCTTCATCATCAGCACTTCTCCCCTTTCTGTTTATGATGGATGGGAATCCATAAAATACTCTATCCTGGAATCCTGGTCCAGCCTGCTCTCCTCTCAGCACCACTAACTGGGAGATTGAGAAGGACTTGCACAAATGACAGCTGGGCCAGGGGCGGGGCCAGTGCTAGTGGCAGAAGGGAGGGGCCTGGGTAGGGGTGGGGCCAGAGCCGGAGGGGCAGGGCTTGGGCTGCTTGCACACTATTTGGGTCTAAAAGATTCCACCCCAGCCCAGGAGATCTTAAGACCCTGAGAGATCTAGGGACAGAGGACAACATGAATACGTACCCAGGCCTCAGCCCTGCCTGGAAGAAGCTGTTGTTGACAGGTGCGTGAGACCCAGAAGCTTCACCTTGGGTTGGGGATAAGAAAGAGATGGTCTCAGAGAGTCACATAGCCCCAGCTGGCTTGGAACTCCTCCTGCCTCAGCCTCTTGAGTGCTGGGATTACAGGTGCGTGCCACTACAGACAGCCTGGCTCCTTACCAGCAATCTTCAATCACAACTGCCCTGTCCCCAGAATGGTTCTTGGGACCCTTTTTTTTTAACAAAGGAAGAATTTGAGGCACACACAGGGACAGGCCATCTACACAAGATCTCAAGATTAGCAAAATCAGAATTAGAAGTCAGGACCTCAGCCCAGCCCCCTTCTACCAGGGAACCTTTCCCATTCCAGGTACCCACACACTAATAATCCCAGGCACATGTCCGTTATCCCAGCATTCAGAGGGCTGAGGCAGGAGGATTTTTGCTGCAAGTTTGAGACTACCTAGTGAATGCCAGGCAAGTCAGAGCTACATAGCAAAAGCTTGTTTTGAAAAACAAACCACAACCAAAACCAAAACCACAGGAAAAAGAAAAAAAAAGCCCTAAAGAAAATCCAGGCATGGTGGCACACACCGTTGATCCCAGCACTCAGGAGGCAGAGGTAGATGAATCTCTGTGAATTAGAGGCCAACCTGGTCTGTGTAGCAAGTTCCAGGCCAGCTGGAACTACAGCAAGACCCTGTCTCAGAAAAAAAAAAGTTCAATCTGTTTCATTTTATAATTTTTTATTTCATTCTTGTGTGTATGTATATGTATGTGTGTATATATACATATATATATGTATGTGTGCATATGTGTGGAGGTATGTAGAGGCCAGATAGCTATGCAAGTTTTTTTTTGGTGTTTTGAAACAGGGTCTCATTATGTGGCCCTGGCTGGCCTGAAACTTGCTATGTAGACCAGGCTGGCCTCAATCTCCTCAATCTCACAGGGATCTACCTGCCTCTGCCTCCAGAGTGCTGGGATAAAGTGCATGTGCCACCATGCCGAGCACCATGCACCATTTTAACAATTTAAATTTTTTTAATTAAATTAACTATTTTATTGTTATTGTTATTGTGTACATATATGTGCACAGCACTCAGGTGGAGGTCAGAGGACAACAGTGTAGAGGTCTCTTTTTCCAAATTAAGGGGTTCCAAGGATCGAACTCAGGTCATCAGGTTTGTGTGCCATGCGCCTTTACCCACCGAGCCATCTCACCGGCCCATCTACTTTCTTTTGAAACATGGTCTCCCACTGAATCTGGAGCTTGCAAATTCAGCTGGACTGGTGTGGCCAGCAAACTCCAGAGATCTCCTATCCTGGGGATCGAACTCAAGTGCTTTACTGACTGAGCCAACTCCCCAGCCACTTATTTCAGTTTAAATCTCCAATCTCCACCCAATGTAAAGCTTTCCTGAGTCCCCACCAAAGTCAGAAGGAGCCCTTCCATGTGGGGAGGGGGTGCCGACCAAGACAGCCCCCAGCTGGCTCCCTTAACAGTCATCTGCCAAGCCCCCCCTCAACACACATACGCTTACTTGGGTCTTACATACAAGTCTAAATCCCATCATCTCCCAAACCCCAGGAGACTCCAACAGGCCAAGGAAGCCTTGCTCAACACCTCTATCCCTTTCTCATGAGCTCCAGAGCCCCCTCTCTGAGTCCCGAGGAATGACAGACCAGAAAAGGGGAAGGGGGGACTACTTTGTGCTAGGTCTTGGTAGGGAATGTGGATTCCGGAAATCTATCCTGTTTCAGCCCTTTAAATTTTTTAAAAAAAATAATAATAATGAAAATAATTATTTTTTAAAAAGAGCTGGAGTGGGGTGTAGTGGCATATGTTATTAATCCCAGCACTCAAGAGAGGCAGAGGCAGGTGAATATCTGTGAGTTCAAAGCCAGCCAGGCCTACATAGTCAGATCCTGAATCTAAGAACAGGGAGAGTTGGGGCTGGAGAGATGACTCAGCAGTTAAGAGCACTGGCTGCTCTTGCAGAAGACCAGGTTTGATTAATGCTAGGATTTAAAGCATGTGCCACCACACCTAGCAAATGAATAAATTTTTGCTAGACACAGGGACTCATGTACCCCAGGCTGGCCTCCAACTTGATATGTACTTGACTTTGAACTCCTGATCCTCCTGCCTCGGCCTCCTGAGTGCTAGGATTGCAGACATACAGCGCTATGCTCTGTCTCTATACCACTTTGATCGCCATGGGCACCATTAGCTCACTTGCAGGAAGGTCGCTGGTGGGCAGCCTATGGTCCTACTTGTTCCTTGCTGTGTCCTCTTCCTTCCTCCAAGGCACCCTGCTGGCCTCCTGCACTTGCTCTGCCCCCTCCAAGCTGCCCCAGACAAAAGGAGCCAGCGAGCACCTGCCTGTCCCCAGAGCCATTGATGGAGTTCTCTCCACTTCTTAGTTCCAAGAGCTGGAAGCCCGGCCAGCAGCCAGAATCTCTCCCAAGGGCCTCCTGGGGCTAGTTCACACCAGCCAGGAGGCGCTGCACATGGCAGGCATCATGGGCATTGGGAAAACGGCAGCTCGAGACTCAGAGAGCTACACTGAGGTTCTGGACACCAGCAAGCCCCACAGGAGTTCGACAGAGCAGATTCAAGTCAAGTGTGAGTGGAGGCCCATGTGGAGGGACCCAGTTCTTAGAAACCAGACCCATCATACCCCAGCAGGGCCCACTGGGGCATGCTCTAGAACAGCTTCCTGTATTAGTCTGTTTTCTCTGTCACAGAATCCCTTGAAGCTGGACAGTTTCTAAAGAATGGAAGTTTAAGTCTGGACCTCTATCCCAGCACCTGGGAGATAGAGGCAGGAGCATGAGGAGTTCAAGGCCATCCATGACTACAATAGTGAGATTGAGGTCAACCTGGGCTACATGAAATGCTATCTCAGATTTTATTCCCTATCAAAAAAAGTAGTGGTGGGGCTGGAGAGATGGCTCAGCGGTTAAGAGCATTGACTACTCTTGCAGAGGACCCGGGTTCAATTCCCAGTACCTACATGGTGGCTACGAACCGTCCTTAACTCCAGTTCCAGGGGAATCCGAAGCTCTCTTCTGACCTCCATGACATTGCACAACACGAGTGCACTCATATACGTGCAGGCAAAACACTCATAAAATAATATATTTTTTTATTTTAAAGTTAAAAACAGGGCTACTATATAACTTAGTGGTAGAGCACCTACCCAGAATCCCTCAGTGAGGGGCTGGGGGTATGGCTCAATGGTAGAACACTTGCCTAGGAAGCCCTGGGTTCCATTCCCAATGCATCATAAAAAAGAAAAGCTACTCAGTCATGAAAATTAAATGAGAAGAAGCTCAAAATAATAGTGTGAGTACTTAGTAAGTTGTTATTAAGAATATAATTAATTTGTATTTATTTATTTATTTATTTGTCTTTTTGAGACAGGGTCTCCCTGTAGGCCTAGCTGGCCTGGAACTCTGTGTAGACCAGGCTGGCCTTGAACTCACAGAGATTCATCTGCCTCTACCTCCCAAGTGCTGGGATTAAAGGTGTGTGCTACCACGACCAGCTTGTTTTTTTTTTTTAATTTTATGTGTGCATTTTGCCTGCATGTGTTTAAGTGCACCACATGTGTGAAATGTCCATAGAGGCCAAAAGAGGGCACTGGATCCCTTAGAACTGGAGTTATAGACTGTTGTCACAAACCATGTGGGTGCTGGGAACCAAACCCAGGTCCTCTGCAAGAGCAGCCAGTGTTCTAATCACTGAGCCATCTCTCCAGCCCCAATGGATTTAGTTATTTGACTACTGTCATTTGTACTAAAGCTTGCAGGTAGAGGGACATGTGGAGGAGGTTGTTATTGTGACACAGGACTGTGGTGCATCCAGCAGGGCTGTCCTCTATGAATGTGTGAATAAATGACTGAGCGTGTGAATGAATGAATGTGTAAATGCATGAATTAATTAGCCTGAGAACCAATGAATGCCTGCATGTATGCCGCTGTGGTGACATCCTGGTCTTCACCCCAGGCCTTGCTCTGTATTCCCTCAGACAAGCCCAGCCTGATGCTGCTGATGACCTTCCCAGTGGCTTCTCAAGGCATGATCTACAGCGACCTCAACTTCTGTGACCCTGGAGTGGGGTGACAACCATGAACCCGGAGCCTGTGCTGAGCTGGACCCTGGATGGGAAGCTGTGTGGGGCTGGGGAGAGGCTGTTCATCTGGCGACTGCCCCCACAGCAGTGGGCCATAGATATGCATGGCCAGAAACGACAAAGAACAGCTGGTCTCAGAGTCAGTGACTGTCTCATTGCCAGGTAAGTGTCCCCTCAGACCTCTGCACCCACATGGGTCTGCAGCCAACTTCCCAGAGCCACCCACTGAAGCCTTCTGTAGTCAAAATGTCACTCCGTGCTGTCCTTGTGTACATGTGTGCATGTGTGGATTCATGTTCACATGGTTTTGGGAGCAAGTGTGTGTGGGTGCACCTGCAAGTGTTCCTGTGTATATGGTGGACAGAGGTTGACATCTGGAGTTGTCCTCATTTTCACATTATTCTTTGAGGCAGATCCCTCGGTTGAACCCAGAATCCAGCAATATGGCAGTGTCTAGCCAGCCAGTTTGTTCTAGGATTCCTCTGTTCTCTCCAAGCTCTGGAATTGGTGGCAGACCACCACAGCAACCTGTTGTTTACATTGGTCCTGGGGGATCTGAACTCTGGTCTTCATACTTGCTCAGTGAGCCCCACTGAGCCATCTTCCCAGCCGCACGTTAGCTGGTTTTGCAGATAACAGACCATGGCCAGATGAATTCTGAGAAAAGCCCTCCTTGGCATCTGGACTGGGCGACCTGGTCCTGACTCCCACCTCCCCCTCACTGCCCGCAGCCTCAGCACAGCCTGCAAGCACACAGATTGGCCTATGAGGGACCCATCAGTCTTCAGAATCTGGTTTTGTGTTGTTGAGACTAGATCTCATGTAGCCCAGACTGACTCTCGATGTAACCAAGGATGACCTTGAGCTACGATCCTCCTGCGTGCACCTCCTAATGCAGGGATTACAGATGTGCACCCATTTATGCAATGCTGGGGATGGAATCCAGGGACTCATACACACCAGGCAAATGGCCTACCAGCTGAGCCACATCCCTATCCCCAAAAGACACAATCTTATACCACTCAGTAACCCTGATGTGTGGAAGGCACTAATGAAACTTCAGTCTCTCCACCCATTTAACTGTCCAGGGAATGAATGTTTGCTGAGCAACTACAATGTGCCCAGCCAGTGGCGAGCCATCCCGGGGACACTCTGGTGTGAGGCCACTCCAATCTAGTCTTCCTTGGCCTGGGAACTAGTGGGGGACACCCACAAACTCCTCATGCCCAGAGTAGACAGGGTTGGAATGGGGGAATCTTGGGAACTGTGGAGTGTGACTCAGCTTCAGAGTCAGGAGGGCTTCCTAGAGGCCGGCGGGGGGGGGGGGGGGGGGGGGGCCGTTCTTAAAAAAAAAAAAAATATTCCGGGTGGGGGGGGGGGGGAAAGAGACAAACAGGGGGGGGGGGCGAAAAGGGGGGGAAAACAACAAACACAAGAATAAATTCAGGTTGGGCGTGGGGGATAACTGACAGACATGGAGGGGGAGTCATAGAGAGGGAGAAACAGAAAAGACAAACTTAGAAGCAGAAGGAAGAGAGGGGCTCAGAGAATACAGACTGTGAGGAGAGCCTGGGTTATAAAGGTGACCAGGGGTTGGACTCCACAGTCAAAATGAGAGACCAACTTCTGTCCCAGGTACTGGAGAGCCACAGCAGGAGTCTGAGCTACAAGGTCAAGTGAGGCACAGTCACAGATAGAATGACAGGGAGTGGGAAACAGAGGAGGGAGAGTGGCCCCTGCAGTCTTGTGTCCCTCTCTGGTCCCCAGAAGTCACTGTGGCTCCCATGGATGCTGATCCCATTGAGCCAGAATGCCTCCCTCTGTTCCTGTCTGGAGGATCTGCCACTGGCCTCATTGTGGCAGCCACCTTGGGAAGCCTACCACTGATCAGAGCTGCCTGTTCCCACTTGGTTCAGAGGCTGAAGGTAGTTATGTATGCCCCGAGACCCCTACCCCACCTGTTCACCCAATGACATCCACTCGGCCTCCACCAGACACTGAGTTCATTCTGAGTCACCCATGAGTAGACTGAACTCAATTCTAGCCCCAGCTTTATAGATGAGGACCTAGAGAAAGCACAGAAAAGTCAAGACACTCATTTAAAGTCACACAGCCAGGAAGAGTCTAGAATTCAAATCCTAATATGAAACACCCCCCCAACCCAATAGCCCTATGGGAAAGGCTGACTAGGACTCCAGGAGGTGCCCAACTGAGTCACTACTTCTGGAAGTGACATGGTGGAACAAAACGGCAGGGGGGGGCACAGGTGCTGGGCTGAGGATCACATGACAGCTTACCGACCAAAGCCACTGGGAAGCTAGTTCTCCTGGTATTCAGAGTACCCATCTGCAACATGGGGACTGTGGTAACAGCACCCTCCCACAGAGCCGATAAGAGTTGGATGTGAGCTAAAATCTTAAGGGCACTTAAGCAGTGACTGGCCCAGTAAGTGCTGCATCCGATCCAGCCACACACAGCCCACTGGGTACCTGGCACTATGTTACCATGGAAACAAGAATTGAAGTACAAATCTGTTGGGGATCCTCCTGCAAAGATGATGAATAAGGGGGGAAAAAGTAGATAGCTGGATAAGGGTGTGCAACAAGAATGGGAAGTCAGCGGGGGTGGGGGGAATGTGGGAGGGGGTGCCACTGAACCCTGTTAGGGACATTCCACTGCAGAGAGAGGGAGAGGGAGAGGGAGAGAGAGGGAGAGAGGGAGAGAGGGGGAAAAAGAGAGAGAGAGAGAGAGAGAGAGAGACATTTAAACAAAGACCTGGGCTGAGGAGATGGCTCAGTGGGTAAAGGTGTTTGGCCACCAAGCCTGACAGTGAGTTCCAATACCCAGAAACTACACAGTGGAAGGAGGGAACCAACTCCTAAAATTTGCCCTCTAACCTCCATAGGCACTCGCATGTATACACACACACACACACACACACACACACACACACAATAATATTAATAATAATAAATAATAAATAATAGTAGTAAATACATTTTAAAAAAGCAAATAAGGGGTTGGAGAGATGCTCAGCAGTTAAGAGCACTAGCTGCTTTTGCAAAACACCTGGCTTCAGTTCTCAGCACCCACATGGTGGCTAAAAATCGTCTGTAACTCCAGTTCCAGGGAATTTGACACTCTTTTCTGACCTCTGTGGGCATTGTATACACATGGTGCACTTACACATGAAAGCAAAACACTCATATACTGCATGAATAAATAAATATTAAAAATGGACAAATAGGGGCTGCAGAGATGGCTCACTGATTAAAAGCATCATCTGCTCTTGCAGAAGATGCAGGTTCAGTTCCCAGCACCCAGGGACCCAATGCCTTTTTCTGACCTCTTCAGGCATTGCATGACATGGGTGCAATTACATACATGCAGGCAATACACTCATACACATAAAAATAAAAATAATTTAAAAATAGACAAACAACCAGGCATGGTAGCACACACCTTTAACCCCAGCACTCAGGAGGCAGAGGCAGGCAGATCTCTGTGAATTCAAGGTCATCCTGGTCTAGATAGTGAGTTCAGGTCAGTTGGGGCTACTGGGAGACCCTGTCTCAAAAAGACCAAAAAAATAAAAATATTAAATAAATGAATACAAAGTGGTGAACCAGAGAGGAAAACCAACTAACATCTGATCGCCACATGCATACACATACACACCCACACAAGCATGTATGTGCATACACCACACATACAAAGACACCGTTAATCCTATTAGCTCAGGGCCCCATCATTTAACACTGAAGGTTAGGACTTCCTTAGGTGAATTCCAAGGGGTCATAAAGCAATTCATACCAGTCCCCCCGCCAATCTTTACTGCAGGTCTGACAGAGATAAGAAATGTCCGAATGAAATGTGGGCACTCAAATTCCCACCCGAAGGTGGCCCCCGGAAGGGAATCCAGGAGAAGGTGACACTGTCATGCTGAACTCCGTCTAAGACTTCCTCCCCCCTGGTTTGCTGAGCATTTGTTGGCAAGATGTTCCAACACCACCTGGCATTGTTTCAACTTTTGTTGAAAGTTACAGAGAAGGTATTTCTGTCCTTCTAGTTGCCAGCTCCCCATCTGTACAGCTCACAGAGTCCCTAAAAGCTGTCTCTATTTTTTAGCCTAGCTCAAGAAGGGAAAAACAAAACAAACAAAAAATTTAATGAAGAAGCCAGAAAGATACCTCACAATTCAATGGTATACCAGTCAGCATCTGCTGGCAACAAACTGGCCTGGAATTTAGTAGCTTGAAACAACAGTCTTCATTCAGACTTCACTTCTGTGAGTTGTGGACATGGGTTGGGCTCAGCAGGGCTCTGGAGACCCAAGCTAGCACATAGCCACTTCCATCATCAGAGCTGTCTAAGGGACAGGAACAACTTAGCCAGGCAACCTTTGCCCCACTTCCAAAGCCCTGGAAGAAACCATCTGATTGGCTGACCTGAGTCAGGTGACATCCTTGGTTTCCTGTACTATAACTGGGGTGGGCACAGAGAAGAGTGGTACCAGCAGAGACTTCAGGGAGGGTTCCCCTCCGTCTGGGGCCCTGACGGGGGATCAAAAAATAGAATGTTGGGGCTGGAGAGATGGCTCAGCAGTTAAGAGCGCTGACTGCTCTTGCAGAGTACCTGGGTTCGATTCCCAGCACCCACATGGCGGCTACGAACCATCCTTAACTCCAGTTCCAGGGGAATCTGAAGCCCTCTTTTGACCTCCGTGGCACTGCAGGACACGGATGCACTCACATACATGCAGGCAATACACTCATACATGTAAAATAAAAATAATAAAAAATATTAAAAAAAAAAAAAAAGAAAATAGAACATTTTGCCTCATAAACTGGGCAAGACCTAAAATATTTCTTTTACACCTGTAGCTTGTATTTGACCCCTTTCCAAAAAAAAAAAAAAAACCCAAGATGTTCAAATGCAGAGAGGATGGGGACACAGTGGCAGCCCCCAGAAATCCACCTGGCATTTGTAAATAACGTCAACCTGCATTTGGAGTTCTTCGACTTGGTTGGTTGGTTGGTTTAGTTTTCTGAGATAGGGTCTCACTTTGTAGGCCAGGCCAGTGGTGAGCTCATGCCCACCCAGTAGGCTTGATACAGCCGTGCCTGATACCAGATTGAATCTGCAAATTGCAAAATCCATGTCTCAGGTGGTGCTGTGTGGTAGAGTGTGTGGGGATTGTTAGATAAAAAGGTGGCAGGGGTTGGGTTCACGAAACAGAAACAAAGAGGGCTCTGGCAAAGTAAGAGTGTAATGGGTTTGGCGGGGCTGGTCCTCAGCTCAACAGGGCTGGTGAGGAAGAACCAGCAGCCTAATGGCTGCAGGGGGCAGCTTATAAAGGGACAGAATTCAGAAAAAGAGAATATTTTTCTGCTGTTTGGGACTGTTTGGGGGGCTGCTTGCTCAGGGAGGATATGGGGTCTGTACTTGGTGAAACTTATTGAGGAAAATATCTACTGTAAAACATGTTTTCTACAATTACAGGGTTCCAGGAATTAATTGCAGCTAAGGGATTGGGAAATGTCAGCCTGTGGAGCATACTCTGGTGATCACAATACATTGGTCATTAGTTTCCCGGAGCTGCTTTCGTTAACTTGCAGGTGGCTGGGAGTTAGCTGACTCATTTCCTCTTAGGGGCCTTATGGTTTCTGGGTCTGGGGTCGCCTGGACCTGAACGCTATCAGGGATGAACATGTTCCATATTGAGCCCATAGGATGCTGCCCAACACTGTCCATTGATGTGGATGGTGTGTCTGAGGTATTTTTCATCTCATTTACTTTCAATTCATTTTGACTTTAATGTATTAAAATTGTTATAGTGGGGGCCAGTGAAATGGTCCACTGGATAAATGCAGTTGCTAGCAAGCCCAACAACCTGAGTTCAATGCCTGGAAGCCACAAGGTGGAAGGAGAGAACTGATTCCTGCAAGATGTCCTCTGACCTCCACGAGTGGGCTGTGGCACATGCGCCTACATTTAACACATCATACACACGCACAATAAATAAAATCTTTTAAAAAGAAAGAATTAGGGGCTAGAGAGGTGGCTTAGCAGTTAAGAGCATTGGCTGCTCTTGCAGAGGGCCCAGGTTCAGTTCCCAGTATCCACATGGTGGCTAATAACCATCTGTAACTCCAGTTCCAGGGAGTCTGACACCTTCTGGACTCCACAGGGATTGCACACAAGTGATGCATTTATATACACACAGGCAAAAACACTCATACATATAAAATAAAATAAATGAATAAAAGAATTAAAATTCATTTATTAGAAAAAAGTAAATAAGCCAGGCAGGATAATACACACCTTTAACCCCAGCACTTGGGAGGTAGAGGCAGGTGGATCTTTGTGAGTTCAAGACCAGCCCGTTCTACACAGTAAGTTCCAGGACAGCCTGGTCTATGTAGTGAGACCCTGTATCTAAATAAATACTTTCTTTTTGTTTTGTTTTTTTGTGACAGGGTCTCCCATGCCTAGAACTTGCTGTGGAGACCAGGCTGGCCTTTATCTCACAGAGAAATCTACCTGCCTCTGCTCCCAAGTGCTGGTATTAAAGGAGAGAACTGATTCCTGCAAGTTGTCCTCTGACCTCCACGAGTGGTCTGTGTCCCCATGCCAGGCTAATAAAGTCATTTTTTATTTTTATTTATTTTTATTTTACATGTATGAGTGTGTTGCCTGCATGTATGTGAGTGCACCTGTGTCATGTAATGCCACAGAGGTCAGAAGAGGGCTTTGGATTCCCCTGGAACTGGAGTTAAGGACGGTTCATAGCCGTCATGCGGGTACTAGGAACCAAACCCGGGTCCTCTGCAAGAGCAGTCAGTGCTCTTATCCGCTGAGCCATCTCTCCAGCCCCTAAAGTCATTGTTTAAAGCATGCTATAGGGAGACCCACATGGTGGCTCATGCCTGTGATCTTGGGAGGCTGAGACAGGAGTTACCTTGAATTCAAG